TTTCACATTCAGTTTTCTCTTTATAGTGCACAAATCTTTCAAAAATTTAACATAGGAAGGAACCTGTTTAATAGCATCTAGCAAAGGTATATTGATCCTTACTTGTTTGAAAGTTTCAAAGATTTCAAAGTTGTGATTGATTTTCCTTTGTTTGATCATGGCATGAGGAAATGGAAGTGCTGGTGGGGAATCAGTCTTTTCTTTGCAAATTTCAGATTCAACCCCTTCCTTAATGACACGATCAAAGAGTTGATGTCTTATCCCAAGTGCAGGAGTGTCAAAGTAAAATAACCCGGTAAGACCGGGGTCGAACCACAGGGAGGTGAATTATATAAATTACAAATAAAGAAAAAGATTTAAAGAGAATAATAACAGAAAAGGAGTTGAAGAAAGTTTTGGGATGTGATATTGATGTAAGGATTAAACAATAACAAAACATATGTCAAGGTTATAGGATTCACTAATGGTATTTCAAATAAATATAATATAAACTCTTTTTATTACTCAACTAGAAACCACACACAAAGGAGGTTCTAATCGGATGATTTCTCGTTATTAGCTCATTATAAATTACTAACATGATCATATTAATTATCTTATATAAGTAATACCATACTTATAAATATCATCAAGCATTCATGTTGCTAGTTTATGTTAACAACAAATCAAGTTTCTATCATAATAACGATTTCGGCCGAAAACTATGAAAGATCAAGCATTTGATGTACCAAATATTATACAACACAAATCTAAATTAAACATTTAATAAGCAAGGTATTAAGAATTAGTAAGATAAAAAGATAAAACATGTTAATAACAATCTTTCTTGGATATAAACATTTAAAGCTCATGTTGAGTTTATATTATACCTATTCTAACACCATTAGAGAAACCTTTTCACCTTGACATAATTAACTTAGCTAAACATTAAGAAGGAGAAAAACACAAATAAACAATATAAGAACATAAACATAATATAAGCTAACTAAGTATAGGAAAGGAAATGAAAGAGCATAAACAAGAGATTACTATAGCATAAAAGAAAACTTGAACATTACAAAGATGTAGAGAGAAAGCAAGAAGATAACTTTGATCTGAAAATTAATATGACTAAATACATGGACAATGCCTCCTTTTATAGGCTAAGTTTCATAACTATTGATTGATTGAAGAATTGGTGGGCATCCATTGATTTGGTGGCTGGTTTTTGACATTAATGGCTGCTGGTTTTTTGATATTGTGGGCTGATTTTTGATATTGTTGGCTGGCCAAAACGTCATTGCTCACATCAGAATTATAGCCAACTGAATTGTGGAATCTGTGGGCAATTGTCTCAGCTTTCCATAAAAAAAAACCAGAGCTCATTTGGACTTCTAGAACTCAAGATATGAGCCAAAAACCGAATAGTGCTTGAGCTGCAGGACAGCTTCCGACGTCTTCGTTGTTGCTAAGATTTGGGCTTGAAAACGGCAGAACTAAGTCTTTGACTTCATATGAAAGTTGTAGGTCTATGTCTTACCTTTCCATCGATATAAAATGGACCTAAATCTGATATCTACAGCTCCAGATATGATCAAATTACTGAATGGTGTTCGAGTTTGGAATGCACCAGCAACACTTTGCTAAGTTTGGCCTTCTTTTTATCCTTTCAATTTCAATCCTTAAACTCATCAATCAATCCTTTTATTTATGTGATAGACCTGCATTTAGGATGAACATTTACCATGAATTAAAGGTATATTATATTTTTAGACTTGCTAATATAAAACATGCTTTTGTTAGGGAATTTAATGATACTTTAGGTGCAATATGATGACATAAATCCTTAATGAGAATGCACTTTTAAGTACTAATCACACCCCCCAACCAGCTTATTACTAGTCCCTAGTAATCAAAGCATTAAAATAGAAAAATAATTTGCAAATACCACAAAGCAAGGCATTCATCATTTAACTTCTATTAATCTATCCAGATAAACAAACTCTCATTAAATTTATATATCTGCTTAATACCTCTTAAACAAGGTATTAGTAAACCTTCTTTCGGTGCTCAATAAATCAAGACATAGCTATGGAGCTTTTCATGGAAGAAAACAAAATTTTTTATTCTAATGTTTAAAGTTAACTTCCTTGGGTTGGGATTGTTATCTTCTTTATCTTTAAAATATTCCATGTTTTGAGTAAGTTGAGTATTGATTATCTTTTGCTTTTCAATGAATGAATACATGTAATATTTCCTCAAGATTTCTTCTAGAAGGTGGAGCATAAGGAGGTCCATATCTATGAGAATTTTGTAAATTATGGTGTGCTTGAAACGGTGGTTGTGAAGTTTGTACATTGTTATTATCACTCTTCCAATTGAAATTTGGGTAATTTCTCCAACCAGGGTTGTATGTTTGCGAGTAGTGGTTATAATTCGGCCTTTGGAAACTGTTTAAAGCATGAGCTTGTTCATAGAGACATTCCTTAAAATAA